ATTTATAACTACTGACTGAAAGTTGCCATGAATATTATAAAATATGTATGAAATGTTTGTGCGTAAACCTGAGAAACACTAAAAATAAATTTAAATCATTAAGAGGATAAAGGGAGGTAAGCATGTATGAAATATGAAAAATATTAAGAAAAGACAATTTTAGTTTACCAACTGAATTATCAAATATCCAATGTTAATAAAGAGATAAAGTGCTTGAGATATATAAAGTCATATATCACATACTAAAAAGACATTTATATTTATAATAAGATATATATATATATATATATATATATATATATATATATATATATATATATATATATATTATTATTATTAGATACAAAAATCTTAAAGAAAGGATAAGGTTAAAAGTTTTGAAATGTAAATATATTACTGATACTAACAAGTTTTTATATGTATTAACAAGGTATATGTATTATCATAGAGCCAGATCTCAAAGAAACAAAGAGATTAAAAAATATGAAATAATATAAATATGCCACTTATACTAAGAAGGTATACAAAATCACTGATGCTTAAAAGAAATAAGCTATGTATGTAAAATGTAAGACAGTTTAAGTTGTTGGCATCCATCTTTTCAAATTCTGTGCACAAAACAAGATTTTAAATGAAAAAAAAATTAACTAAAAAAATGACATGCACAGAAAATTTGCATATTAGTCCAGAGAAGTTTTGATCATTACTAATTAATTAATTCATTGAGTAATTTTAAGGATTTATAATAAACAAAAAAGTGATATTATATTAAATGAGCATGCTTTTTTTAGTACTAGTAAAAAAAAAAAAAAAAAAAAAAAAAAACAGAAAAATTGACAAGCAGAAAAACTGTAAAATAATCAGAGGAGTTTCCCAAAATAAAAAAAAAATGATTTCAGGAAAGACCACCACCAACAAGCATTCCTTATATCAATGTCCATTTGTTACCTGCTTGTGTATTGTTTCTGTTTGCGTCTATGAAGGAAATTAATGAAATTATGTCATACAAATATAGAATCTTTTTAGCTGTATAGCAAAGTTTCAAGCAAATATAGAGAAAAAAACATCATCAAAAGCAATTTCATTTATTATAAAATTATTATAATCTTAACATCATTTGTGTTAGATGTTCTAAATGTTTACTTCTGTAATTGTCACAGACTATGTCTAGAAATGAACAATGCATATCATGTATAGATAAGACATTACAAACTACAATATAAATTACAGTGTTTTAAAATCTATGTATAGATAGGACATTAAAGACTACAATATAGATTGCAATGTTTTAAAAGCTATATTCTGTAGAACTGAATTAAATATTAACTGCATTTACTTGTTACAGACCATATCTAAAATGAACAATGCAAATTATATATAGATAGGACAATAAAAACTATAGATTGAAATGTTTTAAAACCTATATTCTGTTGTGTATGACTGAATTAACATCAATGAAATGTATTATCATGATTATTCTACTGATTAAAGTTGTGGAAGGAAATCCTTTGTTATCAATGTATTATGTATACAAAATAATTTTTCACCTTTTATTTTGTTAATTACAAAACTGCTTTGCTAGTAAATTTTCTAACTGTAGTAGGACCTCACTATCCTTGGGACCACTAAGCAAGAAAATCTCATTATTTCACTTGTACTTGGTCCAATCTCTCAAAGCTCTCATCTTCAAAATTTTTATTAAACAAAAACTACATTGAAAAATATATTTCAAAGGAGTAAAATAAAAGTGTAAAAAAACACATATTGAAGTGCCTAATAAATGGCGGAGGGGATTTTTATTTTTTTGAAGAAATTTTCCAATGCCCTGAACCATTTACTTCCTCCATTTACTAATGTTGCATCTTTTGACTATTTAAATGATTTTCCAACCTAACATTTTTTTTGTAGCATACCTACAGACAATAATGGGTATGTCCCCATTCACATAAAAACAGTAGTAAATGTTGTATGTTGGTCTGCAGTTGGACATTCATTGTGGAATTTACTTGACTGACTTCAAGCAATTGACTACTTCTTCTATGCTCTGCTGGTGAATCTTATATATATTGTTCTTGTCCTAAGTATTATCGTTCATTTCCAATCTTCATTTGATTATTCTATTCAGTAACCTCTTCCTAGGTTACAAGAGTTTTATTAATTATTTATTAATAATCTCCATCATTTATTGCATATGGAGAAAAATTCAGATACCCAATTAAGACTTAATTTAACTTTAGACTTGTATTAGTAATAATAATAATATTTTGAAAATATAAAAAGAATTTATTAATTTAAATGTCCCCTGGAACCACAACATATGCTGAGGGGGAAATTTTCAAATTTGTAAAAAAAAAAAAAAAAAATTGTCTCATTGACTACCGGAATATTCTTGTTTGATTCATTTCATTATTGTTGTTGGCAAATATATATTTCTCATTTCTTTTTGTTTTGAAATGGCTTAGGGAAAACAGTGGAAAATTTTGGACATATCTCTGCCTTCCATCAACATGGCTGATGCTATCCTCCAAGAAAGTGACTCATTGTACCTTCTTGAGCTAATGTTCTCAGCTGACATGATGTAGAAAGACTACATTGAATCCATCACTAGATCAACTGCTAAGAAAGTCAGTTCACTGTGGTGGACGAGACAATTTTTTCCTCTGGAATATATCTGGAAGATCTAAAAGTCTATCATTTGTCCATGTTTAGAATATTGCTGCCATGTATGGTCTGGTGCCCTTGCTATTTTCCTGAAGCTTCTTGAGAAGATCCAAAGAAGAATCAGCAATATTATCTAGCATTTTGGCTTCAATCACTTTCTCATTGTTGTAATATAGCATCCCTGTGCCTTTTTGATAAATATTTCCATGGCAATTGTTCTGATTAGCTCTTTGGTATTAAGACTTTATGAATTTAAGCACAGTATTAGATTGATTGAAAGGTTTCATCATTTTACAGTTAAAATGTCTAGATGTAACCATAAGTTCTATGCTAACAGTTTCTTCCCCAACACTTGTGGAACTCTCTTCTGGCTTTTTGCATTCCAGTCAATTTTAATCTTCAAAAATTTATATGCAATGTCAAACATTATCTTTTGCCTTCTTACTGTTCTTTTATTGTTCTCTCTCCTTAATAATTTTTTCTTTTTCTCATTCTCTCACATTCAGCAACCCCTCACATTTTAGTGGATTTATTTCCTTGCTTGGGGTGAAATGTTTAAAAAAAAAAAAAAAAAAAGAATATCTAGCATATATTTTCCACTATCAAATGAAGTGTTTCCTACCTACCTTGGATAATGAGGTCCTACTTTATTCAACTTTATTTTGTTGAGTCTTAGTGCGACCAGTTTAAATTAACTAAAGAAAATGTTCTATTTTTCAAATTAACTCAATAGCTTTTATAAGGATTCACTTCCTGTTTCATGAAGAGGATCATTGTCATTATTCAAACTATTCCATAAGAATTTGAAGCTGCTAAATACTTGGCAGCAGCAAAGCAGCAATTTCTTCAATTTCTAAAGTGGTTCTTTTGTTTATGTAATGTATGCACTTTTGTTTATGTAATGTATGCACTTTTGTTTATGTAATGTATGCACTTTTGTTTATGTAATGTATGCACTTTTCTGAATTTCATAGATGAAGTATTTTCATTATTATTTTTTCTTTCATCTTTATTGTCACCTTTTCTCATAATGCTCAGCATTTTACATTCTTATTAAAGTAAGCAGCTAAACTTATAAAATAATATAGCCTCTGACGAGACTTGAACTCACACCTTATATGCTCAATTCCTGTATAAATCTATAGGCTGTAAACTGTACTGACCTGAGCATTATGATAAAAAGCTAAATTAAAATTGATCTTAATTAAAAATAAGGTTATAAAGAAAATGTAATATTATAGACTGATATATTCAGACCAATGTTCTTATCTTGTTTGTTATAGTTATAACATTTTGGCTATATCACTTATAGTTGAAAAATTTTGAACTGAACCCTTTATTCAATCCATGAGGATAGGTTGTTCTTATTCCACTATCCATGTTATTGTTAGAGTAACCTGTGCCGGGTGAGACAATTTTTCTGGCAGATTTAAAAGTCTACCATTCATCCATACTTAGAATATTGCTGCCATATATGGTCTGGTGCCCTTGATAAGATTTTTTATGAATAGTTTCATGGTAATTGTTTGGATGAGCTCTTCATTATGGTATCTAGACTGTATGAATTTAAGCACAATATTAGACTGTGGTGAGATTTCATCAATTTACAGTTAAGCTAGCTAGATGTAGCTGTAACTTCTATGCTAACAGTTTTTTATCTCACACTTCTCACTTGTGGAACTCACTCCTGGCTCCATGCTTTCCAACCAACCTTAATCTGCAAAAATTTAAATGCAATGTCAATCACTATCTACTGTCCTTCTTTTCTCTTTCTCCTCATTAGTAAAGTTTCTCTTCCTAATTCCTCCACACTCTGTACCCCCTTGCATGCGAGTGGCTGTACTGCCTTTCTTGTGGTGATACCAATTAAAAAAAAATTGTATCAGTTCATTCTTTTGACTTAATTTATGCTTGTTGTTTCACGTGTTTCTTCCACTGAACCAGAGTACACACCTTTTTGGGCTACCTGACCCAGGGATTAAACTCTGAATGGAAATTCCCAGAAGGTTAACAATAAGAGATAACCAAAATGTGACTGTAATAACCAAGATGAGGAATCTAGTCTGGGCATATCAGTTTAAAATAATGATAATTCTTCATCTCAAGAATTCTAACAAAAAAAAATCATATTATATAATTTTTTGTATTTATCAGGCATCATTAAAAAAAAAAATATTGCATATGAAAAAGAACTTAATTGTTATGCCTAAAAGTTCATAGAATTTCATTGCTAAATGCAAAAAAAAAAAACCCAAAATATTAAGTTTAAACTTGATGCAAGAGATCTTATAAACACAAACATACAAATGCCATAGGTGAAAAGTTTGTTTTCTACTTACTGGATTCATTTAAACTGATATTGTCCAAAGGATCACGCTCCTTTTTTAAGTCCGTATCTGCACCAATCTTATTCCTTTCATCTTTAAGGTTGTTCTGGTTAAGATTAGAGTCCAAACGGGAAGTATTACTGAAAGAAATACTGTAAGTGAAAAACTTTATCTTAACAACCGAATAAACATTTGTGAAGAAAAATAAGATTAACAAGATTGCAAACATGGCAACGTGTTGAAAAATTTTCCAGAAACAACTGAAAGATGAAAATAAAAATATATATTAGTTTGATATAAATCACAAAATATCATAAACAATTTAATAATAGTAACAATTTTAATTACTATATAACATGACTTTAAAAAATAGTGTTATTAGTACAATACTTACAGTAAGAATAATAACAATCACCAAAATAACAAATAGATGTCAAGGTAATTAATTTTCAAAATAAAATTATGATTGAAGTAACAAATACAAATAATATCCTTAAAGATAGCTAAGTCATATAAAAATAAAACAGAACAGCTATTATCAGTGTGATCTTTTAGATAGAGTTAATATTAGATCATTTAAAATAGAACTGTCTTTTGCAGAGGATCTTAGTAAAAAAAAAATAAGTTTCTGAACTTTGACATATTTCTGAAAAAAGACTATAGTTATTTATATTGAATGTTTAAAAATAGAAAAGGAATTTAAATGTTCCCACTTTGTTTTAGATGAATACTATATTGTTTAAATTAAAATGAAAAGATTATGTTTGAAACAGATACAGAGTTCATTGACTAAAAATATCGATCTATGTATAAAGGAGATAAATTTAGGACAATGATTATCATTATATTCATAGCCTTATATCTTCTAATGAATTTCTACACCAGATTTGATTCTAAATCTAAGAAAAGCTTATCAAAATTTTAATGGCAATTTTATTAAAATATGGTCATCTATTCATTAGATTATCAAGATAAATATGTCAACCAAAAAATTGCCATCATTTATCAAATGCTAACAGCAATGACAAAATTAGCTGTTTCTATATGGGGAAATAGCTTCCATTGACCAAAAACAGTGCTACCATTGAAAATCTTTTTCTTCATCTAGTTTTTTAAGAAAGTAGACTTCTCAAACTGACTAACTTTTATAGCTCTTTCTAATATTGATGGAAGTTTCCTTCCAAACTTTTTGTTTTTGGTAGTATAGAAAGTTAACAGCTTGATATCAATATTTTCTCTTTTAGTTACATTTTTGTTGTTGCTATTGTTAGAAGAGATATGTTTTTTGTTATTTGATAAAGTACTTTGTGGTTGTGTAGCACAAGTCTACAAGGTCTGATGAAGGACTTCTGTAAGATTTATAGGATGATAAAAAAATAGCTTATGTCTTAATAAAAGAATTGGCAATCTACATTCCATGGGCTGAATCTAGCCCACCATGATATTTCATTCACCCTGCAGACCATATGGAGTATATTATTGTTCTAGGATAATAATTTTCATACTATTTTTCCTTTAATATTTTTATGCATATAGTTTTAAAAAATATTTCTTGTTTATGTATCATTGAGGCCCTCCTATCGTCTCTACAATTAGAAGTGTTCAAGCTGCAGTCAAATAACATGTTGAAAGACAAACACAAAAAGGGAAAGTTAACTTACTTTTACAAATGTCTCCAAGGTGAAGGATATTCTGCTTTAAAATCATTTGCCCAACAATTAATTTCAGCATTTGGCACAACATATTTATTTGAGATGACATTTTTCAAAGATGAAGCATTTTAAATTTGTATAAAGGCTGATCTTAAACTGATCAACATTTACACAATCAATTCTGATATGAAGCACAAATTTTGAACCAGTGTTTGACTGAAAAAGGAATTTCCTTCTTCTCAGTGATAGTTCAGATTTAACATGGTCAATAAAAATTATAATTTGTTTATTCATAACAGAAAATATTATTTAATAGGTTTCAAAATAAATAATTAAATACATAGACAAATGATTAAAAATGTAGTCATTTTAGTTTTATATATATCCATAATTTTAGTTTAGTTTTGGCCATCCTCCCCACCAAAAAAAAAAGAAGACATTGCTAATTTGGTTAACTTCCCAAAAGGTTTGCTAACTCCTGTGCTAATGTAAACATTACTCTATCCATGGGATCATTACAGTTTTCCAAAGAGATGGGACAAATCAAAATTCTTGCAGAGCAGCTACCAACCTGCAGTATAAATACACTTACATTTAACAGACATTCCTCAGAGAGCATCCACAACTATTCCAAATTTCTAGAATTAATAACAATGCTTTCAAAATTGGTGGTTTCTTATGAAATAAGAATCATTTTGATGTCTTCTTTTCTACTACAATTTTTTATAGTCATTCTATATTCAAATGCTGAATTTTTTTATAATTAGGTTTATCATTCCAGTTTGATGGATATGTCCCCATGGTATAAAATATCAGTATTTTTTGTGCCGGCCATGAAGCTTAAGGAGTATTGGGTTAGGAAAACACTTTGGTCTACAAAAAAAAACTAAAGCTATATTAAAAATTCCCAAAACTATGGTAAGTATAGTTATGACTTTATAATAGTTACTGTCACAAATTTGACAACAAAATTTACTTTCTTGGAAATTTGAAAGTGGAAAATTAAGTATATAACCTTTTTGATCCTTTATTGATTTTGAAGATAACAGATAGAGAAAAATATTTATTTCTACTCTAAGGATGATATTATCTGTATATTAAGATAGTCTTATAAGCAAAAATGAGACAATGAAAACTACATGCTTTTTTTTTCTTATAAAACTTATGAAAATACATTGTCTTAAAGCTTTTCTGAATTTATATGTTTGGAAGTAAGAAAAAGGTAGAAAGTTATTTCAAAAAGCCAATAGACAATTGATGTCAATTCTATTATTCATTGCAGAGTGGCTTATACAGGATTTTTTTAAAATTTTAGATACTGAAAGGAATGAATGATAGCTTTACAAGTGAACATTTCCACTGGTTACAAAGTATTTTTCAATGTCTTATTTGTTTAAAAATTGACAAGAAGGTACTTGTGAACTTTAAGGGACAGCTGGTCATAGTGTCTAAACACTGTTTAAAATAGAGGATATTGTTCATCTATATGATGTACACTTATTGCAATCAATTTGAGACACTTTTAGATATCAATAACTGACTGATAACATTAAGCAAGGAGACAGAAATTGTAATAATTTAAATTCCTTGTAAACTACTTTACATTATCAAAAATACCCAAAATAAAGTTTCCCTCTGTCTTTTCTACAAATATTTTCATAGCAAATGTTCTAATGAGCTTTCCTCCTTGGTGTCTTGACTGCATGAATTTAAAGATTGTCAACTATATTCTACCATTTTACTGTTGAACAAGCTAGATGGAACCATATGTTCTATTCTAATAATTTCTTTCTCACACTTCATGCCTGTGGAACTTTCTTCCAGTTTTTTGCTTTGCTGCCACATAAAATCTTCAAAACTTTAAATGTAATACCAATCACCATCTTCTGTCCTCCTGAATCCTTTCTAAAGTCTTCCCATTCTTTTACTAAAGTTTTTCCATTCTCTTTCACTCCAAGTAACACCTTACGTCCTAGTGGCATTATCACCTTGCTTGGGATGAAATGATTAAAAAAATACTCTGATTATAATAAAGCAAGTAATTTTTAATTTATTTTAAATAAAGTGTTTGGACATTTACTGAGTTTGATAACAATAACTGTTTGATATTATTTGTATGTGATTACAATAAATGGGTTTCTATATATAATGTTTCTGAAAGGATCTAACCAAAATCTGTTTCTCCCACCCCCAAATTCCAACATGTAAGATGAACTATGTGTTCATTATTCTTTCTTCTGTTTTATGAACTCCATGTTTGTTTAATTTTTATATACTCCATTTCCAGAGTTAGATTTAGGCATTTACTGCAGCAAAAATTTATAAAGTTTGGGACTACAAAAATCAATGCCATTAGATTTCAGTGATTGAGATTTGACCACTTCTCCTGTGAAAATTTAAAAAAAAAAATTAATAAGCATAAAAAAGAGACCCCTATACAAGACAACTTCCCTACTGGAAGAGTGGCAAACACAACATAGTCTCCTTGACTATTTCTAAATTTTAAACAGTGTTTAGACTAGTATTATTCAGTGCCTCTGAAGTAAACAAATACCAACAAATTTAACTGCAATATTCTCTGTTAAAAGATAACCTTTATTTAAGACCAATTTTAGAAATGTTAGCTTATTTCTTATTGATTTCATATGTAAATAACAGAGATTTGAAGAGAGAGACGTGACACTACCATTGAATGCTAAGAATAACATGGACTGAACATGTGAGCAACAAGAAAGTTTCAAGAAAAATAGAAACAAGGAAACTTATACTTACAATCAGAAAGATCCAGTTGAAATTTCTAGGAAACATAAAAGAGGGCCAAACGAATTTAACACTCACAGGGTGTATTGAGGTAAGAGAAGCAGAAGTAAACAGTAAGTGACCTATTTGGGCAATCTCCTCACAAATGAAGAGAAAACCAGAAAAGTAAAATGGAAACAAAAAGGATACTCAGAATCAGAAAGGGACAGCTGAAATCTCTTGGACACATAATGAGGAAAGTAGGCTTGGAAAATTTGACACTCACAGGGCATATTGAAAGCAAAAGAGACAGAGGAAGGCAGCAGGCCACCTACCTGATGATCTTTTGTGAATGGATTATGGAACAGGGAGTAGGAGGAATGGCAAAGGGACTAATGTTGTTGAGAGGTTGTGGATAGCCATGATCACCCATGTCCTGAAGGGACATGGTGCATAGAAGAAGAGTGAATGAATTGAAGAACAGGGTAAAAGGTCAAAAGTTATTTAGAGCAACAAAGAACATTGTGAAGAGCTATGATCACCCATTTCTTAAAAAGAGACATGATATATAAAAGAAGAGGAATAAACTTTATACAGGTGTGAGTAGCAGCATGGTTAACAGCACAGAGAATGACATCAATGAATATAGTTCAAACTCAGGTTGAGACAGTTTGCATTTATTTAGAAGTAAGGCACAAATCTACTTTTCCACCCCAGCAGGTATGGCTTGTTTAATGATAGGTCAGATC